AAATGTCTTTGCTCTATTAAACATAACTTAGGAAATGTTTAAAAAAGAAAAAAAATTAAAGGGGGCTATAATTCTGACTTCAACTGTAGTTATCTCTCTTTGCCAACTGTTTCAAACCGCATAAAAACTACTTCAACTAGTCAAAATGTATACCTCCTCAAACTTTCAGACTAGGCTTTCTTAAGCCACCATAAAGTTGGTCTAAAATCTTTACTTTTCTAGTTCTAGAAACATGTCATTTCTAAAATGTAAATGTAATGATATAAAAGCTGATATAGCAATGAACTCAAAATTCTCTCTAGTTTTATTGATGCAACATGCATCTTAAAAGACTAAATCATTATTTGGGTTCATTCTAGGTAGTTTTCTAACTGAACAAGAACAGAGGGAAAAAGCTGGATAGTGTTACTGATTTCATATCAGCAAACATTCAGATCTGCTCCTCCCAGTCTGAGTCCTTCACTGGAGAATGCTGAAAGAGATTTAGATTATTACTCTGCCAGCAGTTTGCTTAAGGTCAGGTATAATGAGGTTGAAATGCCTTGTATACACTGTTAAAGAAATAGACGTTACTCTCTCACCAGATACTTTATAACTTGCTAGACACCCTATTGACTTGAGAGCTGGCTTAAAGGAACGTAATTACTTTCATTGAATCAGATTATTAGCATCTTGCACAAAAAATGTTTTAATACTTTTTTCAGCTTTTCTATTCTGTTGTTACATCGTGTACCAAGACAGGTGGGAGGATAGATCCATTCTTTTATGTTGTTTTCGACAACTTCCAATCCTACCATCTCAATGTCACAGCAAAGTCTCCAGTCTTTCTTCAATCCAGTATTTTCCACTTTAGCTGAGCCCATGTGAATTGTAGATTTCAGTTTGCTTCTTAGCTAACATGAGCACCAGCAGTGTCACCAATGTCTCATAAATTACGTTTCTTTCCCATTCTGATGCTCAGTCTGAACTTCAGCAGCTCATCTCCACCACGTCTACATGCCAAAATACATTGAATTGCTGTCATGAGATTGGTTAGATATTTTCATTAACAAGCAGTTGAACACAAAAGGTGTGTAGAAACGTGTGTTCAGCTGCTCATTTAGATACATTTATAATTTTCACTTTTAGTTTTGGTGTGCTGTATTATTTCATGCAGATCAAGGTTAGGTAGACAATAAAAAGACATTTAAATAAATAATAATAAACAAAACATTTAAATCAACAACTAAAAAACCCCACTGGAGAGAGCAGTGATGGCTCATTTAGGTGTAGACTATAAAATGCTGCCATCGTGTGGTGATGCTTAGCATTACGCAATAACTATTACATAACCGGTCAAATCTGCTTCACCCACACCTCCACCAACTGGACATTCTGCTGTAATATTTAAGCATATTGTGTAATGCCTACTTTGCAGACTTTCATCATTTCATTTCAACATCTGACCACAAAAATCACAACATGCTCATGCTGATGCTTTTCGAATGGGAAAACAAAACATTCCCTCACACATTTAATGTACTGATGATTTAAAAGACCTTATTTGTGATATTATTGCAAGATTTTTAATCTTATGTTAAACATATCAGACTGAGTAAATTATTGAATATAGAATAAATCCAACATTTTTCTATCTGTTATCAAAAAATGATGCTAAACATTTTCCTTTATAAAGAGTTGACACTATGTTGAGTTTATTTTAGAATAACCTTTTTATTGTAAGTTTATGATAATACATGTAATTAGTATATTACGTAACATTTATGGCACGCAACAAAATACACAAATACATTCAAATAAATAAAGTGCATTTATTGTGCATGGCCATTCTACACCCAAAGTGCTCTCCTCACCACCACAGGTATGCAGGATCCACTTGGATGATGCGATGGCAGCTTCAGGACAATGGCACCATCAGATGATACCAGTTTTTAAGGGGAGTTGAGAGACAGTGATAGAACCAATTCAGTGGATGGGGATGATTGGGAGGCCATGATGGGTGAGGGCTGATGGAGGGAACTTAGCCAGGACACCGAGGTTATACCCATGCTCTTTACAAGAAGTGCCATGAGATTTTTAATGACCACAGAGATTCAAGACGTCAGTGTAATGTCTCACCCGAAAGAGGTCGCTGACTGACAGTATAGTGTCCCATTCACTAGACTGGGCCATCATGACTCACAAAGACTGCAGGTTGAGCACCCTCTTCTGGCCTCACTAACACCATCTCCAACAGCAAGTTTTTCCCAAGTGGTCTCCAATCCAGCCCTGCTTAGCTTCAGTTAGTAACCAGTCTCAGGCTGCAGTGTGAAATATCTGTGACCAGTAGTACAGTAATGATACTATTAACAGTGTCTTTCTTTTCTATTGATATTTGTAACTATAAACAGTCACATTGTCTGTCTTATCCCCCCCAAAAATGACAAATTGACTTTCCTTTGTTACAACTAGCTTCAGATACGTGTTCCTAAACAGAAATATTTTCTTAAATTGGCTCTGTCTTAGCGTGTTATGGATTATGATTGTTAATATAAAGTCGTTCACACCTTTCATTCATTACACAACTTCACCATCACGGACTGAAACTGCCTTAAACACTCCACCCTGAATGAGCAATGGGCTCTGTTCCAAAAAAAAAAAAAAAGTCTCTAGGTGAACAATCCTTTACACTTGTGTGAGATATATATACAGTATATCAGGCAGTGTTACACTTAAACCTCTGTACAAAAATAAATAATTTGTGCTTGTCTGTTTTATATATGGGCGACACAGTGGTTTGGTGGTTAGAACTGTTGCCTCATAGCAAGAAGGTTGCTAATTCGAGTCCTGGCTGAGTTGGCGTTTCTGTGTGGAGTTTGCATGTTCTACACGTGTTCATGTGGGTTTCCTTCAGGTGCTTCAAGGACATGTGCTGTAGGTGAATTTAATAAACTAAATTGGCCATAGTGTATGTGTGTGAATGAGTGTGTATGGATGTTTCCCAGTACTGGGTTGCAGCTGGAAGGGCATCCGCTGTGTAAAACATATGCTGGAATAGTTGGCTGTTTATTCCACTGTGGCGACCCCTGATGAATGAAGGGACTAAGCCGAAGGAAAATGAATGTTGCATACAGATGTTACCACTGCAATATGTTTCCTCCCTTCCCGCACACTGCAAGATAAAAATGCAGCATAGCACACAATACAAAATAATGTTAAGGTTATGTGCCGATGAATGTTCTATATATTTTATGAATATGTATTTGTAAAGCTCATCAAAACTTCATTCTATAAATCAAAAATGCAATAAAAGTTTGAAATATCAATACTGTAATATTTCAGTAATGTTGTTATAATTATTATTATTAAATAAATATGATATAGTATTTTAATATAAAACTACTGGAAGTCAGTTTCACATGATACTTCAGTAATCCTTTTAAAATCATATTTTTATTCATCCCAATAAGCAAATTTGGTGTTGATTTAAATTAAAACAATAATCCCCAAGAAGCTTTGGTTTACAGTGAATTGATAACAGCTAAGGGGCATTGTTAGGCATGTTAGGTTAATTGCTTTTATAGTACGGTTATAATACACTCACTGGCCAATTTATTAGGTACACTTTACAAGTATCAGGTTGGGCCCCTTTTTGCCTTCAGAACTGCATTAATCCTTCATGGCATAGATTCAACAAGGTATTGGAAATAGTCCTCAGAGATTGTGGTCCATATTGACACCAATGACCAATACACCACCACTACCAGCCTAAACCGTTAACATATGGCAGAATAGATCCATGCTTTGATGTTGTTGACGCCAAATTCTGACCCTACCATTCGAATGTCGCAGCATAAATCAAGACTCATCAGACCAGGCAACGTTTTTCCTATCTTCTATTATCCAATTTTGGTGAGCCTGTGTGAATTGTAGCCTCAGTTTCCTGTTCTTAGCTGACAGGAGTGGCACCCGGTGTGGTCTTCTGCTGCTGTAGCCCATCTGCCTCAAGGTTGGAAGTGTTGTGTGTTCAGAGATGCTCTTCTGCATACCTCAGTTGTAACAAGTGGTTATTTGAGTTACTGTTGTTTTTCCATCAGCTCGAACCAGTCTGACCATTCTCCTCTGACCTCTGGCTTCAACAAGGCATTTGTGCCCACAGAACTGCCACCCAATGGATATTTTCCGTTTTTCAGACCATTTTCTGTAAACCCTAGAGATTGGTTGTGTAGAAGTTTCTGAATTAATAAGATTAGCCCGTTTGGCACCAACAGCCATACCACATTCAAAGTCACTTAAATGACTTTTCTTCCCCATTCTAATGCCCAGTTTGAACTGCAGCAGATCGTCTTGACCATGTCTAAATACTTTAATGCATTGAGTTGCTGCCATGTAATTGGCTCATTAGAAATTTGTGTTAACAACCAGTTAGACAGGTGTGCCAGTGGTCAGTGAGTGCATGTATACACGTATGTAGCAAGACACAACAGAAAATAAAACAGTTACTTTGACTCAGTACTGATATCTGAATGGTTGCCAAGCAGCAGTCACAGATGTATGTTTGTTAGAGTATTTTACAACAGTGTAGATCACAGCTCAACCAATCAGAATTGAGGACAACAACTGTCTGTTTCATAATAAAATTTTTATACTTACTTTTTTTTTTTACTATAAACGTCCTTGCCAGTCAGTTATCGATATTCATGTATATAAAAATAAAGTCAAATCTGACCATACAGACCATTGTATTTACCATAAAGCCATAAAGAGCTAAAAATAGCAGGCTACATGTTTAGTTACAAAGTCACAGATAAAACTATTGAGTTTGTCATAAAAGAATGTTGTAAATGTACTACTAGTTTAGCAAAATACCAATGGTTCAACTGAAAAATAAATAAAATTTCACACCATGAAAACCGTCTGACCCATTATATTTTGACTGAAACTGGCATCAGAAACAATAGAGCTTTGGTGTGTGCGTTCTCGCCCAGCCGGTGTGTCAGGTGTGTGTGTATAAGGTGTGTGTGTGTTTGTGTGTGTGTAGGTGTAAAAGGGCTGGACTGCAGAGCCGGTCTGTGCTCAGGTGGAATGTCAAAGTGTGTATGTTCATTTGTCTCTGTGTGTGTTGATGTATCAGTCGCGCTTTGGAGAATTGGAGAAACATGCTGAGTCTGATCAAACTACAGCGAGTCTTCAATGTCCACCAGGTGCCCAAAGTAAGTCCATTCACTCAACACACACACTACCACAACAAATAGATATGGTGTGATGTAGACAGACTACAGCAGTTTACATAAACAGAAGTTAGAGCAAGCAAAGAACCACTTGACTTCTTTCCTTTACTCTCTTATTACTGTGCTTTCTGCTGTGCAGCATTCTGAAGGTGTGTATATATAGACATTTTCATATTCATTGCATTATTTGTAGGCTTGTCGTGTTACCTTTAGATAGAGCTGCTTATTATGTTGCTAAATAAGAGATTTGTCTGACTTTTTGGTGTGGTAGGCGTTTCATGAGGACGGGATCATCTCTGGGTATCGACACCCTCGCAGTTCAGCCACAGAGTGTGTGTGGAGTCTCTTTCAGCTCACCAATGAAACTCTCAACGTTTGGACACACTTTCTACCAACCTGGTACAGTGAAACACATGCTCACTTACGCAATCCCTGTCACTTTTTTATCTCCAGTGCTCGCTTTCTCTCTCTATATCTGCATTTCGCCATCTATTTGACACTTTCTCAGTATGGCTTTTACAATAAACCTTGTTATTGCTTAACTCACATGTATGAGATTTGAACTCGCAAAACTTAACCCATTCTTTTATAGCAAGTGTCAATTTGACTGAAAATAAAGTTGTGCAAGTGTAAAACTTTTCAGTCAAAGTCTAGTCTTCTTTATTTCTATACCACTTTTTACAAATATAAAATGTGTCAAAGCAGCTTAATACAGATGAAGAAATAAAATGGCATATAAATATTTCAGATTGTGTAAAGGATTCAGCATAACAGACATGGTGCATAGTAATGGTAGAATGCTGGTGTAGATGTAGTTAAAGGGCACCTATGATGAAACTCAACTGTGTGAAGGTATAATACTGTGTGTCCACTGTCATATAGGAGTAATGTAAACCCAACAAGTCTCTTTTTTTAATTTCCTGATGTTAAAATAGCACCCAAATCCCAGTGATTTTAAGGCCGACTGCAATGTGACTTAGGAGTGTGGTTTTCCCCACCCACCAAATTGATTGACAGGTGCCATGCCTCCATAATAACATGTATACACATTCACATAACATTCTTTACAAAGGAACTTTGATTAAAACATATGATACAACTCTCTATGATCAGCTGCTTCTCAAAAATTAATTTTATACGTTTAAAACATTTTTGCAACAGGGCATGTTTGTAATAAAGATGTTAAAATCGCTGTGTAATTCATGGCCGCTATAATTACCACGGTTGCACGGTGTCAGTAAACGCACATATATGTGTGTGTGTACTGCAAACGATATTTTTGTGTGACTCATTGTTTCAGAAAGGCTTGAAAAATCTCCACCACAAACATATCAAATAAACTTGCTTGGCATTTTTTACTAGTGACCTTATTTCAGCTTCATCCGTGTTTGTTTCTATTACTGACGGCTGTTTATTTGACATAACACATGATAAAAAAAAGCAGACACGCACATTGAAGCGGTGGGCGAGAAGAAGCAGCTCATGAGGATTTAAAGCCACAGGCTACAAAAACAGCTACACTATATTCAGACATCAAACTGGGCAGATTCTACATTATGTAATAAATATTCTGATGTGTATTTTGAGCTGAAACTTTACAGACACATTCTGGAGACACCAAAGTCTTATCTTACATCTTGTAAAAGGGGTAAAATAGGTGCCCTTTAATTAAAACTAATACAGTTTAATTTGAAGAGCAGTTCTGCCAGTCTACAGCTCATTATTTTACATTCTAAGATGTTGTAAATTGTTTTTTCTAAATTCATAATGTACATTTAAAGAGTTCAGATGCAAATCCATCTAAGTGCCATCTAATTTTGATTCAATATTTTGTATTTTTTTCTCAGGTTCAGAAATGTCACTTTTATGGCAATTGATTGTTTCTATTCATTACCTTTCTAATAAAATTAAAGAACATTAAGGAGGTAAGAAAATGCTCATTTTAAAACTAAATTTCAGATGGCATTTAGAGGTCTTTGCCTGTAAACAATGTTATTTTATTTTTTGTCCAAGAAATGATTTTCCTGGGAATCAAACCTGTGATCTTGGTATTGCTAGTGCCACGCTCTTCTGCATGAGCAGCACACTAACTAACTAACTAACTAACTAACTAACTAACTAACTAACTAACTAACTAACTAACTAACTAACTAACTAGCTAACTAGCTAAATAAATAAATAAATAAATAAAGTAGTGAAAACTTTATTCTCATGTATATTTTGTTTTTAACCTTATCCTTTTTTATCATGTGATTTTTGCTTAATTGTGCTGAATCCAATGTGAGTCAGTTTGACTTGCACTAATAGAGTTAATGGTACAACCATATCAACAGCATTTGGATGATTTACAGTGGGTTTATAGTTTGGATATAGTATCTTCACAGTGCTGTCCTCGGTGGGGTTTAACCAGCTGAGCCACTCCTGAGAGACTGATGATCAGAGCAGATCTGCCATCACAGTTAATAAGCTCCAGTGTCAGTCTCTCTAGAACGTTCTCCACATGTAAACATGCTGGCATATGACACCACATTTGACCTGTGTCAGTGTATGTGACTATTGCTATTGCACTTGCATGGCCATTTCTTTTGATTGACATTGACAGTTTTTGAAACATTGAAAACTAAATATTGTTCAAGCAATTATACTAATGGCATCATTTTTTTTTTTTGTCTCAAAAAACATATTTCTAAAGATGCTGTTAACTTGTTACCATATGTCAATAACAACCAACACAATCCATAGATAAAAAGTAAACAAAGTGTACTAGATAAAAATTAAGTTACATGTAATAAAATGAATTGACACTGAAAAATAGAATTGAACACATGAAGAAAGGGAGGTGTAAAAGATCATGGAAAGCCCAGACAGCAGCTGAAACCTTTTAGTAGTTATTTCACAGCCCTGCCTTTCGTCAGTGTAAATGAATATTAGCTACTTCAGTCTAAACACCTAGATTGGCAGATGATGAAGATGAAACCAGGGTAAACATTTCAGCAAGAAAATGATACAGCCAAGCAAACGTTTAACTGGTTTCAGAAAAAATATATAAGTAAAGCTGCTAGAGTGGCTCAGCAAATTACATGAGCTGAATCCAATAGAAAATAAGAACTAAAGATCAGAGTTTATAGACTAGGCCAACAGAATCATCAAGATTTTTAGACTGTTGAAGTCTGGGAACAAATCTCTGAAAAACTCTGTATTGCTGTACTAATTCCTTTACGATAAACCACTTAAAAATTGGATCACTCCAAATAAAAACTGCTTAAATGTACATTTACAGTTCATTGCAAAAACACTTTTCCATCAGTTGTCTATTTAAAGAATGCCGTATCTCAAAGCTAACACATCCTCTGATCCCACACAATGGTTAAACACACAGTCAACTGACAGTAAATCAATAGGACGAAATGTGGAATCTGTAACCTGACTCTGTGTTAATGTTTGGTTACAGTATATTAAACTCACTGATCCCTCTAAAGCAAGCAAGAGTAAATCAGAGCTGTAAGTAATTCATCACCAAATGTCATACTGTAGGGCAGGGCTTAATCTCTGGTGCTCTTTGTAAATAGTGTAACAGCTATTATGCTCCTGTACAGGCTATATAATAAAGCCAGGGAATTTTGATTTGTTTAGACTCTCAGAAGTATAGGTTTATACAATACCTCAAGTGTTGAGAGTTGACCTGTGAAGACTGGTTGACAGAAGTTCACTAAACTCTCAGACCACCTGTATCACTTCTTATCTTTACTGTACATACTGTACAGCAAAGAAACAAGCTTTAGCAGCGCTCCTTAGAGATTAAACACAGACTTATAGAAACCTAGACTGATAAGACTGATCTGTGCAACCTGTGTTTGTTTCTGCATCCGCCTGTCAGATTCAGCCATAGAAACAAACAAGTCAGGACAGGTTAAGCATTTCAATACAATCTAATCTTCTTAATGTGCTTTGTCATTCTAACCTTTTGTTCTGTTTCTCATTTCCACAGCGACACAAAATCACCTGATGTTGTGTTTGGGTCTTTTTGACCTGGAAATGATTTTCTTTTTCATGAATGTTTTTGCACTGGGTTGTTGCTCTTAAGGAGTATCTGTTTAAAAGCGACCATGTGCATAAAAATGTAATTAAGTAGAATAATGTCCTATAAAAAATGAGCATAAGCTATGATGGAAACACGTTTGCAGGATAAATTCCTTGATGTGCATCAGAAACATCATGCAATTTTGCATCAACAGATAACGTGACTGTATAACTAGATTAACAGGTGCGCTGATCTTATCTGACACCATCTCAGATGTTGCTGTATTATCTATGGACTTGAGCGAAAGTCCATTCCCAAAATAATTTTAGATGCTGTAGTTACCTTCCTTGAAGAACTTTCTTATAATCATAGTTTTCCCAAACATCAGTTACCCACCCCCAAATGCAAAGAAACATTAGTTCTTGCTGCTATGAGGCGCAGCTTATTTACTTTGAAAAAAAATTTGCTTGCATAAACAAAAGTATTTATTATTCATATATCATGCTACATGTAGTAAGTTGCAATTTTAATACTGTTAAACACATGGGATGGAAATGGTTCTTTATTTGAAAATGATTTGTGCATTAAGTAAATACAGAACTCTGATTTGAACTATTTAGTTTTACATAAAATGTGTGTGTGTGTGTGTGTATACAGTTGAAGTCAGAATTATTAGCCACCCTATTTATTTTTTCCCCTGATTTCTGTTTAATGGAGAGCAGATATTTTCAACAATTTTCTAAGCATAATAGTTTTATTAACTAATTTCTAATAACTCATTTATTTTGTCTTTGCCATGATGACAGTAAATAATATTTGATTAGATATTTTTTCAAGACACTTCTATACAGCTTAAAGTGACAAAAGGCTTAACTTGGTTAATTAGATTAACTAGTCAGGTTAGGGTAATTAGGCAAGTTATTGTATAATGATGGTTTGTTCTGTAGACTATCGAAACTAATATATACCCTAAAGGGGGGAAACCGGAGCACCCAAATGAAACCCACGCCATTATGGGGAGAACATGCAAACTCCACAAAGATATGCCAACTTGCCCCAATAGTATCTGGATGCAGCCTTTATGGTGCAAACTGAGACTGCATCCCTCAGCGATGCAATGTCAGACACAATGCACTCAAATGGAGCTAGTGACGTCACTGTGAGGGGTAGGGTTAGGGGTGGGGTTTGGTGAGCCCAATAAAAAGCATTGGATGTAAAGATTGCACTGCACCAGGTCTGCAGCCAGACCCCTCTCACTTGCCCAGCCAGAACTCGAACCAGCAACCTTTTTGCTGTGAGGTGACAGTGCTAACCACTGAGCCACCATGCCACCCTATTTTGAAAAAAACGTATGTTTATTGATTCATACATTTTCGGCTCAGTCAATTTATTAATCAGAGGTTGCCACAAAGTTTGTTATTTAATTAAATATTACTGCAGTTATTAAATGACATGTATTGAACAATAACATTTAACAAACAACAACATAAAGAGGCTGACTAAATAAGTTCAAATAATAATGGCCAAGATTTCAAATAGCACAGCCGTACAACTTAATACTGCAGTTAGCTCCATCTGTTCTCAAACAAATTACAGAATATTGTCAAATTTTGTTATTATACATACTCAAAACTAATATTTGAGTTTTAATATTTCACATTTAACCACTACTGGCGTCACGGATATGCAGTGTGTATCACGATCACCTCACAGCAAGAAGGTCGCTGGTTTCAGCACAGGCATGGGTCAGTTGGCATTTCTGTGTGGAGTTTGCATGATTTCCTCGTGTTGGCGTAGGTTTCCTCCGAGTGCTCCGGTTTCCCCCACAGTTCAACGGCATGTGCAGGTGAATTAAATAAGATAAGTTGGCTGTAGTGTATGTGTGTAAAAGAGTGTGTATGGGTGTTTCCCAATGATGGGTTGCGGCTAAAAGGGCATCTGCTGCGTAAAAAAATATGCTGGATAAGTTGGCGGTTCATTTCGCTGTGGTGACCCCTGATTAATAAAAGGGCTAAGCCAAAAAGAACATTAATTAAAGAATGAATTTAATCACAATAAAAACACGCATTAAATTCCAGCTTGTGTCCATCAAAGGGGTGCTCTTAGTGTGTAATGAGAGAGTCCACTGATGAGTGCAAAATCATCAGAGCACATTTTTAAATAGGCACTATTCTTATAATACACTGCATATTTGCAATCTAAACCCTACGCTCTCACCTAAAAAACAGGTCTACATTATGTGGTCCAACAGCGGCAGTATTTGTCAAACTATAGTGTTTAGTCCTCTGCTTGGCACTCGCTGTGGGTGGAGTGATACACACGAGTAAAGAGGCTGGACTAGTGCTGAAACCAGCAGCATATTGCACAGCTCTTAGCCAATGAGAATCGAAAACCAAAATGAACTGATGTGTGTGAGTGTGTGTGTGTGCATGTGCGTGTGCGTATGCGTGTGCGTGCGTGTGTATGTATATATATATATATATATATATATATATATATATATATATATATATATATATATACATATATATGTATATATATATCTTTCAGGTTAAACATTAAATCACTCTACTGTGATAAGTGTTGTAGGTCATTTTTGATGAGAACACCAAAGGCAATATAGACAATACAAGGGTTAAATATAGATTCTAAAGTGTCAGTGTCGTCTGAAAACCATGCAAGAAAATGTCTATCCACACCATCTCTGAAAAAGTGAAGAAAATATTAAAATCTTATGTGTGTATGTTGTTTCCAACAACAGAAAGATTCATGGAATTATTGTTTTGCTGGATCACTCATTTGTTGTGAGTTGCAGCATTGTGGTGCTGTGTCAACATTATCATCTCTCTGTGTTTCTGTGTCAGGTATTTTCTCTGGAAGTTGATGACGGTGTTGTTGATGGAGGATGTGTGGAATGAAGCGTACACATGGCCCTTGCTGGTCTTCTTGTTTTCGTGCTGTGTTTATCCACTGGCCTCCAGCTGTGCTCACACTTTCAGCAGCATGTCCACTCGTGCTCGGCATATCTGCTACTTCTTTGACTATGGAGCGCTCAGCTTTTACAGCCTTGGTGAGACACATTCTCTTCCACTCTATCAGTTATAGAAAAGGTTGACATGAAGACAGAGTTCAAGGTTCAAAGTTCTGCAATATGTAACAAACACAATGGAATTCTTACACAATTAATGCAAACAGTGGTTAAATTGCACCATCATAAATGGTATAAATCACAATGCTGTATATTGTCTCTAGGGATTGTTGTGAGGTAGTAATTGATAACACATAATCTGGATTGTATTACCCAATTCCTTAAATGATGTACCTACAGTATAATTAGACTAGGTCACATTTTTTTTTTTTTGTAACAGATTTTTGTTAAAGAGTTAACAGTATGAAACCATTTTTGGCATTTTTTTGTGGGTTATGTTATTATTGTGTATAAATACTGTATTTACACACAAACTTTTATAAATGTTCAGACAGATTAAAAAAGGATTTCATAGCTGAAACCCACATACTTTTCCACCACATGGTCAAACAATATATAATACAAATACAGAATCATAAATATTAAATAGCCTCGACTTTTCATTAACTTGCCATTATTTTCCTAGTTTAATATAAACATTTGAGTGAACTTAATATTTTACATTTATTGTCTCAACTTAAATGTTTAAGTTATTCCAACTTAATTTTAAAAGTTTGTTGATGGAAATATTATTTTTAAACATTTCAGTGTAATATTTAAAATGTATTAGTTAAATCTAACATTTTTAAATTATTCCATTGCCAACTTAATTTTATTGAAGTGGATTAGAGCCATTCATTCATTCATTATATTTTTAGGCTTAGTCCCTTTCTTAATATGGGGTCACCACAGAATGAACCGCCAGGAATAGAGCCAAAAATACAAAAAAAATAAATAAAAATAAAAATAAATAAATAAATAAAATCATCTCAAAATTTAGGCTAAACATAATAATAATAAAAAAAACATCAGGAGATTAAAGTATTATTATTATATTATTATAATGTGAGAATAAACTTAGTACAAATAATTTGCTGAAAATTAACTCATTTTCTGAGAAGTATAGTTTTGTGGAGAAAAGTTATTAGAATAAGTTCAAGAATAATGTCTTTATATGATCTGAGAAAAAAAAAAACTTTGAAAAAACTCCTTATAAATAACTGTTACATTTTCAAGAATAAAGTCATTATTTTTCAAGGAATAAAAATTTTTACAAATCGAGATTTTTTAGATAAATGCAAACCTTGACATTTTAATTTTCACCTTTTGTGCATGTGTTTCAGTGAATATTGACTTATACAAATTTATGAAAAAATTATATAGTTGAAACTCACATAATGATTACACAACAATCATACAAAGAATTGAAAAGAAATAAAAAATTCTGAAGTAAATGTTTCATTAAATATTTTTTAACTTCAGAACTCAGTAAAGGTTTGGTCATCTTCAGGTTTATTAAGACCATGATTCACCAACCCTGTTTCTGTAGATCTACCTTCCTGAGGGTTTTAGCTGCAACTCATGTCAAACACACCTGCTTGTAATTATTATCGAGTGCTGTTCAGGTCCTAATTAATTGGTTCAGGTGTGTTTAATCTGGGTTGGAGCTGAACTCTACAGGAAGGTCGATCTCCAGGAACAAGGTGGAGCACCCTTGAAATAGACTAATAACAGACTGTGTGCAGAGAAACAATAACAATAACAATGGTGCAATTTTATTTTGTGTGTGAACATACATCAATACTGAGAAACTGAGTATTGTTGAAACCACTTTCAGAATGTTTTTTTTTTACAGCTGATAAAAAATATCACTGACAGCCAATCAAAATTTAGCTTTGAGGAGTTTGAGCAGAAGTACCTGCACTATATAAATATTCAGTATGTTTTGCAGCATGTTTTTGTACACAACTAACCTGCATTTAATAAGTGTATATTTTAAGCATGATAACTCATACAAGCAGGTGTGACTGTATTGATGTATCTGTTTGGATGTTGATGCAGGTTCAGCGATCAGCTACTCTGCATATGTTTTTCCTGATGCATGGCTGAGCAGCAGCTTTCATGCTTATTACATTTCTGTGGCTGTATTCAACACTGTCCTGTCTACCAGCCTGGCTTGCTACTCCAGGTGAGGCACAAATTCATTCTGTGTCTCCTTTCTGCTAAACGCCATTACACAGAATGCAGGAAGAATAAATGTGGGTTACAGGTTTGTGTGTGTGTGTGTGCGTGTGTGTGTGTGTTTGTGTGTGTGTCTGTGTATGTGTGTGTGTGTGTGTGTGTGTGTGTGTGTGTGTTTGTGTGTGTGTGCAATTAATCATTTAATCAGTTAACAATATAAAATCTGAACAGGTAAATTTATTCTAAATGCTCCTAACATAAACTAAATTGACTAACTAAATTTACCTACGTAAGTGGAACAGTACAGGAAATCGGAAATGAAATCGATGGATTCTTTGTGAATTATCTGTCTGAATCAATCAATCTGTTAGAATGATTCGTTCTCCAAATATGAGAGAAAGGCTTTTCAATATTTATTGATCCAACATAATGTGATAATTATCATGCATGATATTGTTATCATGGACAAGGGTGTTTAAAAATACAGTGAATAATTATTTACTTAAGCTTGTGCACGTTGTGAGTATTGTGATTTTTGTATTGCAGTGGTGTTCATCACAGCACCAAATGCTTAAAGACATTTTATTCCATAAAGGAGCACCTATCAAAAGTACTATAAGCACTGTTTTTTACACACCCTATATGCCATATAGATAGGGGATATATATTTGATCAAGAGCAAACCCTCCCGAGACATAAAGTAGAATTCAGATGTGCTTTGGTGTTTTCCTACCTTGGAATATTTTTTTATATTATAAGCTTTTAGAGTTTTCATATGCAGCCCATAAGATCATAGTGAATCCTGGGCTGTGAAAACTTTACTATGATCTACTCTATTACTTTATGTAACATTTTACACTTAAAAATACCGAGTAAATCTTAAACTTGTGAAATTACAGAAATATATCTAAAGATTTAAGTGGCTGTTATTAAAATAATTTACATTTACATAAAATTAACTTCACTTTTTTAACTATTAAAAAATTTAATCTTTACATTTATTATCTCAACTTAATTTTTTAAGTTATCCAAATTTTTTAAAAGTTTATTAAACTTTATTAATTTATTTTTTTTATTGTATTGCATTAAACTTAAAACTTTTTTTACCCCAATGTAATCTTCAAAGTTTAGTAAAATTAACTGAACTTAATTTAAATATTCCAAATATCCCAACTAAATATCCCAACCAAGTTTTTTGCAGCTTATGTGAATTATGTTAATTATACTGTGCTTATTTCACAGTAAGCACATCAAACCTCTTAACTGTGCTTATGTGCTTATTAGCACCGTATAATATATATATATATATATATATATATATATATATATATATATATATATATATATATATATATATATATATATATATATATATATATATATATATATATATATATCCCGAAATATTTAGACATCAACACAGTTCTAAACTTTGTTTTGTTTCTGGATTTTAAATGAAACAGACAAGATGTGCTTTAACTGCAGACTGTCAGCTTTAACTTGAGGCTATTTACATCTAAATCAGGTGAACGCTGGAATTACAACAGTTTGCACATGTGCCTCCCACTTGTTAAGGGTCCAAAAGTAATTGGACAGAATAATAATCATAAATAAAACTTTCACTTTTTAATACTTGGTTGCAAATCCTATGCAGTCAATTACAGCCTGAAATCTGGAACGGATTGATATCACTAGATGCTGGGTTTCATTCCTGGTGGTGCTCTGCCAGGCCTCGGCAGCAACTGTCTTCAGTTTTCTTCAGTATGCTTTAGGTCATTCTCCAGTTGTATTGTAAAGCACTGTCCAATCAGTTCTGAAGTATTTGGCTTAATAGCAGAACATATTGCCTGAAACACTGTAGAATTCATCCTGCTGCTTTTGTCAGCAGTCAAATCATCAATAAATACAAGAGAACCAGCTCCATTGGCAGCCATACATGCCCCCACCATGACACGACTACCACCATGCTTCATTACTTAGGATCATGAGCAGTTCCTTTCCTTCTCCAAACTCTTCTCTTCCCATCACTCTGGTACAAGTTGATCTCGATCTCATCTGTCCATAGGATGTTGATCCAGCACTGTCAATGCCTTTTTTTAATCTGACCTTCCTGTTTTTGAGGCTCACCAATGGTTTCATCTTATGGTGAACCCTCTGTATTCACTCTAGTGTAGTCCTCTCTTGATTGTTGACTGACACACATACACTTACAGTACCTCCTGAAAAGTGTTCTTGATCTGACCAACTGTTGTAAAGTGTGTTTTCTTCACCAGGAAAAGAAATCTTCAGTCATCCACCACAGTTATTTCCTTGAACTTCCAGGTCTTTTGTTGTTGCTGAGCTCACTTGTGCATTCTTTCTTTTTAAGAATGTTCCAAACAGTTGTTTTGGCCACACCCAATGCTTTTGGTATCTCTCTGATGTTTTTTTTCCCGTCTAATAATGGCTTGCTTGACTGATAGTGATAGCTCTTTAAATTTCATCTTGAGAGTTGAACAGAATTCAAATGCAAATAGCACTCTTGAAATGAACTTAACATGGCTTAGAAGTCATTGTACAATTACTTCTGGACCCTTAACAAGTGGGAGGCACATATGCAAACTGTTGTGTTGGTGTAAAGAGCCAGAAATGTTATATATATATATATGTTATATAAATATGTTATATAAATATATATATATATATATATATATATATATATATATATATATATATATATATATATATATATATATATATATATATATATATATATATATATATACTTATTTAGCCAAAGTTGTAGCAAGAATACTAACTCCTAAAATGAACCAAATATATTACAATGAAATAAAATGTTCTGTACTACATAATGATGAGATATAAATAGTAAATGAGTGAAATACATTGTTTTATATATGCTTGGCACTGCATGGCAACTTTACAGCTCAATATTACTCTTATTTTCCACTTTTTTTAACTAAGGCTTGGCTTACCATTGCTTCACTATAGTCATGACATCGTTGAAAGGTAAATATCACAGACTATATCAGAATCCTCTGATGCTCACTAATACGCTTATTAAACCTGACTCTTGTCTTTAAATGCCTTCTAACACTATAAACAGTACTCTATGCTAATATTAATGCTTGCACTACCATGCATTTGTGTTAATACGATGCTTTTGGGTTTTTCTGATCGTGAAAAATCCTCTCCTCCCTGCTTCTTACAATTACATAACTCACTGGCACTGATGTTATCATTCCTGTGAACATAAAAATGTGTCTCTTTGTCAGATTCTCCGAGAGACAGTGCCCGAGGATGAGTAAGGTGTTGCGAATTCTTGCCTTTGCCTACCCGTACCTGTTTGACAACATTCCTCTCTTCTACAGGGTAAGTTTCAGCACACTGCACTGCATCAATGCAAATTCACATGGGTTTTAGAAAAAGAGTAGTCAGGGTATAATGTACTAATGTCCTTGTGATTTCAACTGGAATTGACATTTGTTTACTATATTAGTTTAACATCGAGGGGAGAGTGTTTTATTTGGATTTATATACTGTATTATGCTAGAAATGTTTCTAGAGATGTTTATTCATGATACTACAGTATGAATGTATGAAATAATTGGTGGTGTGACCTGGCATTATTTTTCTGTTGCTTCTTTTCTAGTTGTTTGTGTGTGTAGGCGAGGGTTGTACAGATAACGAAGCAAACTCCGTTCATGTTCAACATACGCTGCTTGCATTCCTTACCAGCTTCTTATTTGCAACCCACTTACCCGAGAGACTGGCACCCGGACGTTTTGACTACATTGGTAAGAGATGTCTGTCTTCATAAATGTTAACTACTGAACAGTAGTGGTAATGCTACGTACTGTACTGTATGCGCCAGTGTAGGATATGAATATTCAGACGTCTAAACAATATACTTTTAGATACTTTTAAAATTTAACAGCTGCATGAACCAATACATTTTAAAATTACATTACAGGAGAGATGATCCATTAAAAGAAAAATTTAAAGTATACGTAAATATATAAATAGGAATACAAACTAAATAAATTCAGTATTCCAACCACAATTGTTTTAAACTAAATAGCCCTAAATAAAATTTACAGTACTCTGTATTCTTGGTTTCCTGTACAATGTAGCTACAAATTTCTTAAATATTTCTTAAATATTTTCTATTCCTTCTCTGCCAAAAAATAAAAAATAAACAATACTGCTTGGTTTTTAAGCTTATTTGAACTAAAATCACTGATTTTTTAAAGGGGTGGTCCACTGCGATATCATATTTCAAACATTAGTTGATGTGTAATGTAGCTGTGTGAACATAAACAAAATCTCTGAATGTAATATGCTCAAAGTTTAATGCAAAGGGAGACCTAGGGTTTTACAGAGAAAGCTTATCAAAGCCTTTAGCGAACGAATTTAAGGACTACAAAAAATACATCCAGGCTAGTGAGATCACAAACGTTTTAGGTATTATTTTGTGCGTTCATCATGCACATACACCCCGCACAGGGAAGGAGCGTGGCCAGAGGCGCTGTAATGTTATAGCAGAGAAACGCTGCTATTTTCACACAGCTTCTTCTGTTTCTGTATTTTGGCTTCCAAAGGACACAACACAAAGAGAAAAGTGTTTATAATGTAGTTTAATTATGTTCCACAGAATAAAAAAAAAAAAAAATATATATATATATATATATATATATATATATATATATATAGCATTTATATATATATATATATATATATAGCATTTGACTAAGGACAGCTTCCAGAATCTTTCCCAGTTCGGTGCTGGATTCGGCTAAAAACTCCTCAAAAAAGGAGCAGCTCCAACCATAATAGAAGAAGCTGTAGGTTGTAAGCCACAACCTGTAAGTATTTCTATTTGTTTAAAATTGATCTATTACATACATAGTTTCTAGCGTTAACGGTCGGATGTAGCGAGGACGTAAACAAGGATGTAAACATTGGAAAATGCTGTTTGACACTGCTAACAATTTAGCTACAAATACGAATTTACCCATCAAACCTCTGTAAAGACCAAACAACCTTCACCAGTGCTGCAGTGTGCGTGCTATTAGAGGCAAATCGCATGCTATTACAGGCGTGATGCTTTTCCTGGTGATGTGGAGCCACAATCCACGAATCACAGCACAATATGTTAGCTGACCAATCAGAGCCTTTTGAAGGAAGGCTTTTCAGAGGAACTAGGAAATTTGTCGTTTCATGTTAGCTGAGTAGCTGTATATGATCAAAAATATTTGAAAAAAAAAAAACTTTTTTTTTTTTTTCTTTTACAAATGAAGCATAAGCACACATTGCTTTGCATCTTATAAACACAACCAAGCCTTAAAAATGCACCCTGGACCACCCCTTTATATAAAATCTTGATGTACTACGATTTAATATGAATGAATGGTTAAAAAAATTGTGGAAGAAAGAATAATGTTTATATGGTTTACTGTTGGTAAAAACAGTTGCCCATAGCTTGTGATTCACTGGTGTTTTATGTGTATTAAAATGGCATGAATGCACCTTGCTTCAGCAACTTTTGATGTTGAAAATTTAACAAAGTGACTTTTATTGGCACTTTGGGTATACAAAAATACAGACTGAAGCAATAATTTGTATATAGAAATGTTTATAAAAAATCTGTAAAACAACAAAGTACTGAAAGCTTATTAAGCTGTTTTTGTAATGTATTGTTTTAGACTGTTTAAAGTGTTTGAAGTGTTAATAAAAATCGTTGTTTAACTTTTTAATATTAAAAGTGTTAAAAGTTTAGAGTATATATATGCTCTTTTTTAAAAAATCTTCGGCCTCAACATGGCTGGATATTGTTTGTCTGCAATTTTTTTTTATTACATGGGTGTACTAGTGTGAATTAGTACATCAAAAAAGAGTTTATAAACAAGAGTTTACAAACCCTGTTTTTAATATTATATTAGTTAAAAAATGTACAATAATTTGAGTAGGTGCTGAGATCAACACAAAAACAGAAATCTAAAATCTAAATTTCACCAAAATTCTCTGTTTAAATATATATATATATCTATATATATATATATATTAAACATCTTCATTTAAAATATTAATTTAAAAAAGTATAAATAAATCAATGCATTTTTAAGTAGGTAAAATGTTTTATAAGCAAAATTTGATTTAGATTTCTTTGTGAATGGCTCTCGTCTGAGCCCTACAGGTCACAGCCATCAGCTGTTCCACGTTTGTGCAATAATTGGCACACACTTCCAGATGAAGGCCATAGAAATGGACATGGGTCTGAGACGGTCTCAGCTGCTGGCCAGTGCTCCTGCCATCAGCTTTAACAACACAATAGGAGCAGCACTGCTTTGTGTCTCTGTCAGTCTGGGGATCATATGTGTCTACAGTCTACCTCTGCTGTACAGCTCAAACCCCAAAAACACAGCCAACAAAGAGTGAAGGAAAACATTCAAGTACTAACAACCTCTGGAACAAGGGTTTCTCTCAGAGATTAACTGCAGTCTTGCACAAGTTACCAAAGTTATTATGGAAATGTATCTAGGACACTCTCACTAGATATTGCGTTATATCTAAAAAAAAAATAAAAATCCCTAAGAGGGGTTTGTACGTTTACTGAATCTATGCAACCTGAGATTGTATAGAGTAATGAATGCAATATTGCATGAATTCTACCTCTCAGGAAAAAAGGCACTGAATCTTGGAACAATGTACTGTTATTCATGTGATGATGCCAAAGTTTTACCATGAACAGAAATGCTTATTGAATTAACCGTTCCAGAATCAAACTTCAACAGGTACATTTAGATGAAAGGACTTGATTTATGTGTATTATAAAAAAAAAAAATACTGTATTGTTCTTGAGCTGACAACACTGTCAAAAGGGATTTAGTAAACCAATTTCCTTAAAGCGACGAGTTGACTATTTAAAGTGAGTAAACCCACATTGTAAAAGCCAATAGGATAAGATAACTCAAACCATTTGAGGAAACTACTAGCAACAAATCAAAATCAAAAAATAAACAAAGCTATTTGAGCAAAGTAAAACCCAAAAACTAAAGAGAACTCAAACCAACTGAGTACTGTAAAACCCAATAAGTTAAGGCAACTCGGAGTGTTACCGATTACTACAAACCATTTGAGTTAAAAAAAAAACTAATCTATATGAATACTGTGAACTTACTCCATTTAAGTTGAAGTAATAAGGTATTCATAACTCATCACATTCAACATTGAGTTCAAAACTCTTTTCACATGAGTTAACTTTCTGTCAGTTTTGGGTTAACTACACTCATTTCATTTGATAAAGTTGACTGTTGGCTGTTACAGTGCATTGTAACTCGGAACAGTTGGGTTGACTTAATTTTATAATTAAGCAAATAGTTTATTTACCTAATAATTTTAAGGCAATGGCTTAACTCACTTGGCTTTAAGGAAAGTCAACTAATGACTTTTTACGGTGTCATTTATTTTTTATAATGTATACATGAAGGAGAGGATCAGATGTAGTAAATCCAATTTTCCCATATCACTACCGGTCAAAAGTTTGGGTTCCTTTTTTTTTTTTTAAAGAAAATTATTCTGTTCATCAAGGCTGCATTTATCAAATGTTAAAAAAACTGTTAAATTGTTAAGTATTTATTAAAATTTTAAATAACTGCTTTCTTATTGTTTATAGTTACAAAACAAATATTTAACAATTTAACAATACCTTTAATAATAATAATATTATTATTAATAATAATAATAATAATAATAATAAATACAGTGATTTTAAAAGGATCATGTGACTCTGAAGAATGGAGTAATGAAGCTGAAATTTTATCTTTAAAATCCCTAGAAAAAGCTACCTTTGAACAGTTATATTATAGTGCAATAATATTTCACTGTTTTACCATTTGTAATGTGTTATTGATTAAATAAATAACGAGCAGGAGAAGCTTATTTTAAAAAATGTAAAAATCCTACTGACCCCAAACTTTTGACCGGTAGTGTACTTTTCTGAGAAAAACTAATTTTACTAGCAAATAACAATTCTGTTCTTAACATTGTTGTTTATTCAACATTTGATGTTGAAGATTTACTTCTACATATATATTTAAGTTGCTTTTAATGACATTTTTAGCAGTGCAAATTATATGAGAAAACATTTTTAAGAATATATTTCTCATATTAAGAAAAATCTGTTTTTTTATGAATGTACGAAATAACAGAAAAAGGAGCTCATTACTGTACATGAACAACACAGCAGTACATCATTTCAAACTGCTGAAATGTCTATAAAATAGACTTTGTTAAAGATTTCAGCATCATAATGTGTCAAAGCATAGATTTCACAATTTTAATTGTAATCATTTTATGGTTGTTAAAACAGCAATTTTGTTTGGTTGTGTACACATATACACAAAAACACTTTTATACTCACTGACCTTAAACAAAGGAACAAGCACTGGTTAAAATGTATAATGTATGTGTGGATCTGGCAAAACATACACACTGACAGCCTTGGTTTATCTTGCTTCTTTGTTTTCTGTATGACTACAATATTCTTTACTGTAACTCTGGGAGGTACTGTATATTTTCATGACACCTGGTCACACCTCAGTCATGTAATCAAACTGAAACTATTTATTGTTTCCTGTATTCTTTATAATTAAATATTTATTTCTACACAACCTAGACCAGTTGTTCTATTCCTTATTAAGACCTAAACAGAATTATCGATGTAATTCAAAGAGAAATTCAGATTGACGCACGTTGCCCTCTACAGTCTAAAAGAGGGATACCGTTTGAAAGAGGTATTTACTGTAAGGTTGGGTTAAATTGCTTCACCAGGGTGTGTTTCTTTACGCATCAGTTGAATGCTTGCAATGTCCTCATGCTACCATGGAAGGTTTGAGTGTACTTTGATCAAGTTTGGATTTCCAACCTGAGAGAGATAGATGATTTGTGTGTCTGTGTGTGTGTTCATTGGCCAGGTAAGTCACACTATACACTATACCACTAACTGCATACTTTTATATGGGCAAGCATTTTAACGTTTCATTTATAAAACGTATTAACTATTTTCATGCTATTGGTACTTAAATTTTAACATTTTACACTTATATTTAGTAGATGCATGCTTTTATCCAAAGTGAATTACAACTGAGGAGGCATTCAGTGATTTAACAAGAAGAGGCAATATATGCAAGAAATGCTAATTATCTAACGCAACTGTTAGTGCTCAGAGACTATTGTGCTATAGAGTAAGGAGAAGGGAATTTTTTTTTTATAAAATAGAAGTGTTTTTCTAGAGATGGTTTGTCAAGCTCACTCAGTTCAAAGTAATTCTATGGGGCCCTAGTATTTTTGAAAAACAAACGAGCTGGATTAGCTTGCCCAGGTGTGTTTGACTGGGGTTGGACCTAAACTTTGCAGGACACCGGCCCTCCAGGACCGAGTTTGGGCACCCCGATGTGCAGTTTATTAGCTATTTATTGTGATTAGATTTTAATATTATAGTTTAAAAAAAACATTTAAACTAATTTACATTTACATTTAGTCATTTAGCAGACGCTTTTATCCAAAGCGACTTACAAATGATGACAAGAAAGCAATTTACACAACCAAGAGCAACAATGAATAAGTACTATAAGCAAGTTTCAGGTCTGGAAAGTCTAAGAAGGGAAGTATTAGTAGTATTAGTATTTTTTTTTTTTTTGTACAGTTAGTGTGATATTCAGAGAGGCAATTGCAGATTAGGAAGTGTAGTGGAGACTAAATAGTTGAGTTTTTAGTCGTTTCTTGAAAGTAGCGAGTGACTCTGCTGTTCTGATGCAGTTAGGGAGTTCATTCCACCAACTGGGCAGATTGGGCGTGAGCGTTCGCGAAAGTGATTTCTTCCCCCTTTGGGATGGAACCACGAGGCGACGTTCATTCACAGAACGCAAGTTTCTGGAGGGCACATAGATCTGCAGAAGCGAGAGCAGATAAGAAGGAGCAAGGCCAGAAGTCACTTTGTAGGCAAACATCAGAGCTTTGAATTTGATGCGAGCAGCAACTGGCAGCCAGTGCAAACGGAGTAGCAGCGGAGTGACATGTGCTCGTTTAGGTTCATTGAAGACAACTCGTGCTGCTGCATTCTGGAGCAGTTGAAGAGGCTTGATAGAGTTAGCTGGAAGCCCAGCTAGTAGAGAGTTACAATAATCCAGTTTGGAGAGAACAAGAGCTTGAACAAGGAGTTGAGCTGCATGTTCAGATAAGAAGGGTCGGATCTTTCTGATGTTATAGAGTGTGAATCTGCACGATCGAGCAGTTCTAGAGATGTGGTCAGAGAAGTTTAGTTGGTCATCAATCGTTACTCCAAGGCTTTTCACCATTTTGGATGCAGTAATGGTTGCCCCGTCCATCTGGATTGAAAAGTTATGGTGTAGAGTCGAGTTGGCAGAAACTACAAGCATTTCCGTTTTTGCGAGGTTCAGCTGAAGATGATGATCTTTCATCCAGTGTGAAATGTCTGACAGGCAGGCTGAAATGCGAGCTGGAACCGAGGGATCATCAGGATGAAAAGAGAGGTATAGCTGGGTATCATCAGCATAGCAGTGGTAGGAGAATCCATGTCTCTGGATGACTGGTCCTAGAGATGATGTGTAGATGGAGAAGATTTAATTTAATTTAATTCACAATCCATCAAACTAATCTTTTCACAATTTTTCATATGAATTGAGTAATTGCTGTTTGTGAATCGGCAGCCGTTTCACTGTAAAATGTTATTTGAACAGGCCCTCAATCTCTTAACAAGCTCACAGCGCTCATCATCTGACAGCTGTTTCAGACAGACAGCAGGATTGTGGAGGAAGCTGCATTTAATTGTTTGTCGTATTTCTACTTTTTTCCCCCTAAATGTTCTGAAAATTGTCACTCTTGCACACTCTACCTGCTGAACCTCTAAATGCTGGTAGACTGGTGTCACTTAAATCTCTGTGATTGTGAACAACAGCCAGAAAAAAGTAAGCGGTCCATTTTAATTATCTTAAAAACAGAGGAGAAGCAGATCGGTTTGACTGTACCAGGGAAATACCTCACGTTCGTGGTGCTAAAACATTTTCTGTGGACACATGAGAGTCTTTAAAAATCTCCAGTAACAACTAAAAACATTTGTTAGGCGTTTTTAACATTTTGCAATAGGAGAGTCTGAAAAGTCACTAAGTTGGCAACACTGACAGGCAGTGTCTTTGATCGAAACACACACCTTGAGCATGTGCAGAACAAATGGAACGTTCCATTATTCATGGGGGTTCCCGGTTTTGAAAAGAAGTAATAACATTAAAATCTAAACAGTTATAGACAGATTTTACGACATATCATAGAACATGTATAAAAGAGCTAAGTGAATGGCTTCTTGGCTTTGTTCTGAGGCCCCTAATTCCCCTGGGCCCTAAGTGGCTGCTTACCTTTCTTATTGGTGAAGTCCGCCCCTGTAGATATAAATTACTTTTTATAGGCGTGGCAGTGGCGCAGTAGGTAGTGCTGTCGCCTCAGAGCAAAAAGGTTGCTGGGTCGAACCTCGGTTCAGTTGGCGTTTCTGTGTGGAGTTTGCATGTTCTCCCTGCCTTCGTGTGGGTTTCCTCCGGGTGCTCCGGTTTCCCCCACAGTCCAAAGACATGTGGTACAGGTGAATTGGGTAGGCTAAATAGTCTGTAGTGTATGAGTGTGTGTGTGAATGTGTGTGAGGATGTTTTCCAGAGATGGGTTGCGGCGGGAAGGGAATCCACTGCGTAAAAACTTGCTGGATAAGTTGGCGGTTCATTCCGCTGTGGCGATCCCGGAATAATAAAGGGACTAAGCCGACAAGAAAATTAATGAATACTTTTTATACTACTTTAATAGATTTTGATATAACATCATTTGCTACAAGATCTCTGTAGCTATTTTAATATTGATACTTTATAATACATTTCATTGGATGCATACTAATATTTCATTACATACTAGTAATTATTTATGAGCTACTAGTAAAACCTACTAAA